TTCCTTTGATGTTTTTAATTATAGTTATCATAATGTTTAATCTACATGAAAGCACACCTTCCTTTATTCGCTGTTCATTATTTAAATAAAAACTTTACAAGGGACAGTTATCGCCTCCAGCCAATGGATTATCAGATTCCTTAGTCACGGTGTGCTGTTGTACTGGTACTTAATCATCAAGGCCTCCGCCCACTTTAGTGCTTTATTAACTGAAGTTTAATCGGTATTCTGGCATTCCGCCTCCATAAGTCTGTTGTTCATTCCCATCAATGCTCTATCGATTTATATATTGTGCTCTTTCTTCCTTTCGCTGGATTTTATCTGATAGATCTTGCCACTCTCGTCAGCAGGTATTAAGTTCAAAATTCGAAAAGTCGTCTATGAGATGGCGTTGCTTATCGGATTTATTTCATACATATTCTTCAGTATATCAGATTTTGCTCACCCAATTGATTGCCTAAGTCTACCTTGTGGACGATCACATGCCTTTTCTGGTATTTGTTGATTAATAGATTTCTTAGCAGATTCGCTCTCGCTTCTGTATTTGCGAAGTAAAATTTGGACTTTTTTGCGGCGTTACATTTTATTCTGATTATTGTGCTGGATCGTCAGCGCCCAGGTGGATCAAAGCGAAATACTGCCGTCAGGGCTGTACACCTCGTCCCTCTTGGTATGACCACAACAATATACTATGCTATACGCTGTAATTCCCAAATCAGCGACTTGCCGCACGTTTCTTAATTGGTTACACTGAAACAGCATCACGTTAATTCCATTCGCAGTTAAGACATACATAGTCCCTTTTATCGGATTCAAACCTGTCGCCCCCGGAGTTCAAGGCCGAACGGTTTGTCACTGTGCCACCGTACCCCTGACTTCGAATATGGCTTCTGTCTTTGACTCCTGTGACATGTAACCAACTTTATTCTTTGTAGGCTACACCTTTGTTTTCAGTCTTGCATCATTTTTGCGCATAGCTTCAAGGGGCGCGAAAACTTCTCTAAATATTTTCTAACTAAATTTTATGAACGCATCTTCCCATACTACGAATATCATGTTCTCTGCGCAGAATGTTCCCTCCCCAGTGCGAATCTTGTCCTTACCTCATTTGTCCCAACGACGTGGATCTCAGGGTTCCATATTGCACATCTTAAAATCTGTGGTCAGTGCTCGTGATGCTTGACGCGTATATCACAATCACCATATGTCATATTTGCTTCTTCGGTGCTTTTTCCTCAGGTCACTCGTAGCTCCTCTTGGTCTTCCTTATTCCCTAGTGGATTGATTTGTCCTTTAATCAAACATCCTCTACACTTTATCTCTTAAAAACAATTCTAACCTTGTACCGCAAGGGCTGAATCAATTAATTTTTCACTGCCGCGTGTTGTCGCTGAAACTTGTAGTAAAAGTTGCATAGGGTTTCCATAACGTTTTGTTTATTATGTTGCTTCGATTCCATTTCCGGCACTTTTTCAGCTTTACCTCGGCATCGTCTTGGCATCGGTCGTCGTCATTACCGGATGCTTTCAGTATTACCAAGAGGCGAAGAGTGAAAAGATTATGGAGTCATTTAAGCACCTTGTGCCTCAGGTACTTCAGCGTTGTTTGATTTCCGGTGCTGCCGTCGTCTACTTTTGAATTTTGACAGTTTGCCAGAGTTTGGCGTGACGGAAAGTTGGTCGAAAGTCCAACTGAGAACTTGGTGATGGGAGACGTCATTGAGGTGAAGGGCGGAGACCGTATTCCGGCCGATATTCGCCTCATCAGTTCGTTCGGCTTGAAGGTAGTTGCCGTCGTCTCAGAAAAAGGAAAGTAAAACTCTCTCATGATACCAATTTTGTTTTTTCAGGTGGACAATTCATCTTTGACCGGCGAATCAGAACCCCAGAGCCGTAGCACTGAATTTACAAGTGTCAATCCTCTGGAAACGGCCAATTTGGCTTTCTTCTCTACGAATGCCATGGAAGGTAGGTGACATTTAAATCATAATCTATCCCTTGCGTTTCTTTCTGGCCTCGTCAGTGATTATTACCACTGGACACATGATTAACTGGCTTGAAGTTCGCTCATGATATGTTGATAGCGCATTAACGAATCAAATACACGAGTATTAGATTTTTCGAACTGTCTGTTCGACGTGTTTACGTTAGCTAACAGTTTCTAATACTAGTTAAAGGTTATAACATTACAGGCCCTAGCGGAAAACAGAATCTGATTGAGAATTCTGAGGTGCATTTCGGACAAACAGCAAAGATTTTGTTTCCATCAATGGCTTATGCCATATCCTAAGTTATCTTCTTGAAAGCAGCAATATCAAACTGGAATTTTTTGTTATGCAACCGAAGCTGACCGAAGTTTGTATGTTGTTTTGCCTCTTGTTGAGATCGTAACCTTATGTCGTTTGCATTAACAGAACGTCCGCTGTATTGACAGTTTTTCAGCACTTTTGCTCTGAGCCACTGATTACTGCATAATGAAATAGAATATAATACTTTTCTTCGAAGTCAGATCTGCCTCTGTCTTGTTCTTCTTAAACGACGTTTGTATTGTTTCGGCTCCCCTTCACAAAAGAAGCTCCTCGGCTGGAGTGATGAGGCTTGCACTTAATTAGTTTGTCTTAAGGGCTTACTTGTTTTTTGTAATCTCAGCAACGTGTTGTCATTTAACCAACATTGTGCATTGAAGCCGGCACAGTTGTACATGGTTGAATCGTAACATTCTTGCTTCTTTGTTATAACAACTCTCTCCAAGCCGTCTACCGAAAAGGAGTAATTGGTCGAAGCGCTATTCCGAGAAAATTTTCAAACGTGTTGGAAAAGATGGAATATATGACCCTGTTGGGAACAGAATATTTAACGGAGGATAGTTAAACGATAATCTTTCGGTTGCATACTCGATAGAAAGCGCTTCTACCAAGAATGTCACTCATAGGCATGGAGTCGAAATGGTTTCATTACAAGCAGGCCACCTTGTCTGGCCGAGCATCGTTCACGAACGATTGACGCCAGCAACTGGTTTTTCTCATCGTTACAAGTCGATGATACGGATGTGGCAATAGATTGATTTGTCTGTCGAGCACGTGCAACATTCGTTTCAGTGGCGATGAAGCTACGAGTTATGAGGCTGAGTTGCGTGGACTCATTTTCGTTTGGTTGTTGCCGTCTTTGCTTTATCTCACAGTCTTAGATGTTGTCATGGTTTTCCCTTTCGAGTTACTGACGATCGTCTGAGAACCCGTGTCATTCAAAACTTATGCAAGATTCAGGAAAAGATTGCTTTCAGCAGGATGATTGTTGTATTCAAAACAGGGGGACAACGTGAGCAAATCGTCGTACAGAAGGAGCACAGCGCTACAATGAGACATAAATGGGTATTCGTTCATGGTTCGATTGATCCTGCTTCATCGCTTTAGTCATTCGAGCGATTTACTTTCGAAGGCAACGACAACCAGCGGCGGTACGGCACGCGCACTCATTCATCTTCCACACTTAATAGCACTGTCTTGACAATCGGCCGGCGATAGGAAAAGACGAACGGTGGTTGCTGCATGAGTTATTCTACCGTGCGGGTCACTGACTGGTGACAGATGTGATGTAGTGGAACTAACTGCAGTTTTCGTAGAAGCGTTGATCTAATTTGGCTATTGCCCCCAGCCATTTCGCCAACCCGTTTTGATTCCTGTCATGAATCATCATCAATATCTTGGCATTCGGTCGACTATCGATGTCAAAAGACTTAAAGTTTTATGGGTCTCACTCCATGTCCCCTTGTCACCGGTAGACTTGAGTTCCGTCTTCAAGGACGACGTGGCAGCGGAGCGCCGTAACAGAAACGACGCTGAAGTAGCGGGTGGAACTCCAATTAGCATTCTCGTAGTTACTCTTGGATTCATAGTTTGAAGCAGGTTGACTAGAGTGGCGTGTTTCGTTTCCTTTGGAATATACCCATAAAAACATTTTGTCACACTTCCAAGCAAGGATTAATGATGAAGGCTCGAAAGGACGAAGTCTGAGAAGTCGATTATCCTGCAGGTATTTGTAAATGCGACATTCCGGCCGTGAGTTAAGCACTATAGTGACTAATCTCTCAGTTAGGTAATTAATAAACGATTAAGACTGGTCGACGCGCTGCTTCCGTTGTTCATCGTCTTTCTCCTCATCGTACGGCCTGAGTTTGTCGATCGGAACTCTTCTAGAGGATTCCGTACTGTACGGGTTACAGCTGCGTTTGACTGAGTCAGCTGTCATGTAGGTCAAGGATAATAGCGGGTGTGAAACATGCGCATCTTAAAACATGGTCATAAGTCTCACAAACTTTGGCATGACCGTAACTGAAATATTGACCCTGTTGTTGACTTGATAAACCTCTCTCGATAGGTAGCACCGAAGCTCAGTGGGCTGCATTGTTTTCTCAAGGGAATTTGCAATTAATAAAAAAACTTATGACACGTTTGGCATACAAAACTTTCTGCGGTGTCATTATCTCTTCCCCATTTGTTGATGTTTCAACCTCTATCTAAACCTAGTAAAGTTTGAACATCAGCTTAGCCAAGATATGCGTCTTCTCGTCCGTTTGCTTTGTTCACTGACCGTTTTCATAGACATTTTAGGTCTGCCTTTAAGGACATTCTCATAAAAAGCAAAATTATCGTACTTAAGTTTGGGAAAGTGAGTAGTACTGATTTAGTAAGGGATTAGAGACGCTTAATCTTTTGATGTTCGTCCTCACCTCCTCCAACAAGGATGATATAAATTTAGAAGATGAGATCGATGGTGCAAATTCTCGTCAACAGAGTTTGTCTGAATAATAACTCAGGCTTTCGATTCTCGGCCCATAGTTATAAAGATAGGTGTTTAAACAATTCATGGTTCAGGGCACCAAATGCAACTGATGGTACAACAGCTTATTGCCGATGCATTTCGCTACATAGACCGTAACATCACCGGGGGAGGCAAAGTGCAAATGACGGTACAGTGTCAGTGTTTTTCTAAGGCTGCTTGTTTCTTTAAATGGCAAAGCCGTTTCGTATCTCGTCTTAGCCGTATCCATCGTCACGGCCGTCAAAAAATAGAGCTAAAGCAACTGGATTTGAAGCACTTGCAGCTGAGATCGGCGCAGTTAATATGTTGTGCGGTTCACTTGGACCGATTTCGCTTTCACATGCGATTTTCGTCTTCGGCGGTCGGTTGTAAAAATGATTCTTTTTTATGAATAGCGGAATTACGCTGATCCGCGCCGTCGACAAACATCGCCCTTGTTGGCTTTATGGCCGGCTGCCGGAACGCTGACTTCTTCGCAGCAACTTCTCAATGGGCGTTTCTAATGCCATCGCTTTTATCAGTGTCCGTTTATTTGTGATCAAACGAATGCCGCGTTCGCACACAAAGACTACAATTAAGGCGGAAAACGGCGAACTTTTCAGTTGTTATTTTCATCATTTTCAACAACTCATGTACATATGAATGTGATATGCGGTGGCGTAGTTTGAACAGGGGTCGAAGAATACCGTTTTGCCATCCGACCCGATCTGACACTGGCTGCTTTAGCTATCCTCGTTACACCCTTGTTTGACAACGACTGTCTTCGTTAGTTTTCGTTTCGCATTATGATGAACCACACGATTCGCTGTGAATCCTTCATACTTATCTGAGCGTGAGATTTCTTGCCCTCATAGTTCTGTTGACATACGTTTGTGAGGTGATTCGATTCAGATGACCTTGCTTGCATTGAAAATATGGCCTAATGCCTAGATGTATGTTAACAATCGCTGCTCTTCCCTGTATCATGATTTCAGGTGAAGAATTCATCTCATTGTCCCTGCATGCCAGGAACATACATGTTTTACTACTGCGTTTAAGTGTCCCATAGCGCTCGATTCGCGTTTACTTCATGATCAGTGATCAGGGCATATGATAACATACCAAATATTACGCTGAGGCACCTTGTCGCGAAGGCCTGACGCAAATTTCAGGCGTCTGAAGATCCGACAGTACCCATCTGAGTTTCTGGCAAAACAGTGTATTAAAATGATTTAGTAATCACAGCATAACGTATATACATCGTACACACATTAGTTAAACATATCAGAAGCCAACTCGTGAACAATTGCTTTGTCTGAACTACTTTATTCTTTCTGAAATACTCTCATACTTCTTAAGAGTATTTTTTCGACTTTTGCTTATATTACTTGCTGCCCATACAACTATCGACTTACTACTTATTTACAACAAGGTCTTATTATGCTACAGGTTTCGATAACGAACGCGTAGAATGATAAGTAAAACCTTGCTGTCATTGTTTTAGGTTTGAGTGCCGTAACTGTGTGTCAAAAAGGTTTTGAATACTTGTACTTCATGCTTTTTATGAAGATTTTCAGATGCAAATTTCGGCTGTCACTGCGTATCGAGTTTAGCCTGATTGCACGAGACAGGAGTTGATCAGTCGGTAGAGCGTCGGATTCGGGTTGAACAACCTAGGGTTCCAGTGCCGATCGCCATTCTTCCTTTCGAGGTTGATAAATGAGTATTACCGTGTGGAAAGGAAATGGGAAACTCAGCAGTGCTTGTCACTTAGCTGCTGTCGATTCTGCCTTTAAAATGCGTTTCTCGCTGATGGCATGGATTCATTCCTTTCGCGCAGGATATAGTCCATTTTACGTGAATGAACATCACTAATGCTATTCCTCAAAAAATAGTTTCTCAGGAAACCGCGGTTAATAGCTGATGTTCTCGCAAGTTGAATTGAGTTTCAAGTACGTTTTATCATTGGCCAGATTTTTTTCGTTTAACAGTTGGTCAGCGGGTCTTCGGTTATTGTATTCAATCATGTATACCGTTATGCCCAGAATTGAGAACTTAAGCGATGGCTTAAATGAAGCGTTTAAAAGCCTTTCGTCCTAACATGCTTTTTTGCTCGTTGTATCCTAACAACATGTTTTGAACCTCCTTGTTGTTAATGTGAGTTTTAGACAGCAAAAA